GGATAATACTGACTGCAGCACTTATATCCACCTCGTGGATTGAAGCCTCGAGAATGCTCTACCATTTGTTAGTCATAAATGTTACCTATGAATTTTTCAGAAAAAAAAGAAAATTTTAGAAAGAGTGTTGCAGAACTTTCTTTCCAACCTAATACTTGCAAGCTATCGAAAGTGGTGCTTTTATCGGTAAAGAACTAGCATTTGCGACGCATCTCGCGTTTTGGCGGGGCACAAGTTGCAGGGTAAGCTGCCAGAAACAAAGGCCTCAGGTAGATGCGTGAACTGCTCGCAGAAGCCGAGCGGTTTCAGAGTATTGTCTCTTTTAACGCGCTTGTTTGTATTCCTTTGACAACAATCATGTGTAAGTATGAGTTGCGTAGGCACCTAGTTCGGGTATTTTCATAAGATGAGAATTTTTGCAAAGGTAACAAAAATCGCCACCTCGCTAGGCAGAAATAATAATTAATAAGGGTGGAGGAAACCGTACAAGCTAGTTACAGTACTTTATCGCCTAGGTCAAACATAAAATTGAAAGCAGAAGCACACGAGCTTATCTAATGACCTAGTATGTACTTCTTTGTCAACTTCTTTGGATCTTGGAAATTCTGTTTCTTTGTATGCTAAACCTTCCATGGTTGTTCAGCAATGCTCTGGTCCAACGAGCCAGTGAATTTTTTCGCGGAAAGAACTTTCAATCAAGCCGCCGCTCGTATTTTTCCGTATTGCGCTGTCTGTCAATATTTCCAACCCATTCATATGTCGACGTCTACCAGAGAGGTTCCAGAAAGGTGCGTTTTTGTTGATGCTATACATTTTCTTTTTGCGCCTTCAACCTTTTGTCTTTCAAGATCTCAACGACTAGCATTTGGTCTTTGTTTTGCCAAAGATCCACGCCGACTTCCCACTGTGGATTTAACGGAAGATCGTCTTTTGACATGCTCCAATTGCTGCGTGACAGTTCATCCTTCTTGCTATGGTGGCCAATCTCTTAGTTCGGCAGTGACCGGTACGATCACAAACATTATTATGGCTCATGTCTGTCATGTTAATTTTTCGGCAGTACGAAAACAAGTGGCGATAAGCGTATGCTGTGAATGTCGCGCAGCGTGATAAGGCTAATTCGCGGTGTATCTGACACCTCTTCGCTGATAAGAGCATGAACTTTTCTTTGAAAAAACGACGACATAAAAGTTTTTCTGCTCGAAGACTATGTCTTACAGACACTCTTGACTTTTTCAAGAGAAGGCCAGGATCTTTCTAAACTGACCCCTTTATCCACTTTTTTGGCATTTCTTGAATATGTTATCCGCTTGGAGCGTAATTTGCCTTCGCAGAGAGGCATATTCTGTTCCTATTTCTTTCTGTAGACTTTGATAAAATTTATATTCCCTTCAGGATCCTGGCTCTGCTTCCGTTGTAAGGATAGAAATGACGTAGCTATTCGAGGTACTTCATGTCATCTCTGTGAGCTTCGAGGAGGTGCGCTATTACCGTGCCGTGCTGGGGCAGATATTTGTGCTTTCGTGCATACAGTTTGCGCTATTTTCAATCGGTTAGTTTTTTCCTAGCAGTTCCACTGGCTTCGAATGTTTCTTGTCCAATGGGTGTGCTTTCAAAATGAGGGTGTCTGTGATCCTAAAATATGCTAAATGTTGTGAATAGTCTTTTTTGCCACTTTGATTTTTATGTTTATGCTCATATGTTATGTTGAAATAGCCTATTTGTGCCCCTCATTCGCTCATTCAAGGCGGACTGTTTTCAACGATGCGAATAATCCTTTTTGCTGCTACACTCATCCTCCAGTGAAACAAACTTCTATCAACGGAGTTTTGTATGTTAATTTTCTTTTCTTGTGTCTCTTCTTCTTTATAAGTACCTAATTTCAGGAACTATCTCCCAAGAGATTATGTTTTCGAAATGGGGGATGACTATGAATCCTCTCGCTTTCAGTGTGATTTGTGTGGTCATTCTAGAGAAGGTCTTCTAAGGTGTTCAGCATGCGATGAGGTATTTTGGTCAAGGTTCAAAAAAAGACCTCCAAAAACAACAATTCGTTCAGAATGGTGACCCAGTTTTGGCTCATGCTACTTGTGCACGCCAAGCAGGATTCTTGTTTGAACGACGAAACTATCCTCAAGTAACTGTCATGATTTGTGATCGGCATCAAAAATCTGAAGGTGATCTCCTCATCCATCTACTTTTTTTCAATTTTTTTTTTCAAAAAGTCATGTGAACTTCTCCTTCATTGCTTCTTATGTGCGAAAGGCACACAACGTCTTTGTGTGAATCCCCTTTTAACATATTGACGACAACGCGCAGCTATGTGTGCCACTTTTTTGAAGGCCGCGTAGGACGCCTGTGGCAACTATGCATGCCGTACCCATTACGCTCCTTTTTTCGCGCGCTCAAATTTTGCCCCAATTTTGTGTTCACTCAATAGCTCATACGTTAGCATAGTTATAAATTGCGTAAATCGTAGATTAGTCAGATATGTTTTGCTTTGGCAGAGGTTTTACAAGCCTTATGAGGACGTGAGTTCAGTTCATTTCTGGCTTTCTGTTCACTAACATGAACTTCTAGACAAAAATAAATAGCATTAGAAGGAAAGTACACCTATTCGAATGGCAAGAAAAATAAGCTTACTGAAACAATCATGTTCATGTAGAAACCACTACAGCGAAAGAGTGAAATTCACTTTTTCATTGTCACAACACGTGTTTCGGTTGAAAACCTGCCATTTTACCTTCAGATAACCTTACCGCATAAACACTGCTTGCGCTAAGTCGCACCGGTCCCACGCGGCCAAAAAAAAACCAGAGCGTGCGATGCCGTCAACGTATTAATACCACTCAACATTTGTGGAAAAGTGGCTGAGGTTATTATTAACACACTGACCTTCACACATTACCAGCTTGCGGCATACCAGAATTGAAGCAAACCCATTCGTGATCTTGCATAATAATTGCTTCCCCTCCCCCCAGTGTAGCCCAAGAATTGAACCCTCAGATCTAACCTGCTGAAACTTTTGTATCAACTGTCTGAGCCTTTCATTGCAATGGAGCCGATAAATACACCAAATAATTACACTGAATTACAAATCAGAATACATCCAGGTTTACAGAAATAAGTATATTTTCAGACATTCTCTATGAAGTGAGCACAACAGGTTAGAGACGACATGTTAAGCATATTTTCTTCACTTTGAAGTTTCAACTTTATTCACCCGAAATGGGATTTCAAATTGAAAAAAGGTGTGATGGGGTTGGTTTACAGTGGGACCGCTGATGGATGTGAATTTGGGTGACATTGTGATAGCTTGGATGGACGGCGGTTCTCGGGTACGACAGGGCAGGGTGGAACGTTTGGTGCTACGAACGCTGTTAACAATCGACTTTGAAGACGGATCAGTTTCGGAAAACACATTGCCTAGTGACATCGTACGATGCTGCTGCATCCGGCAGCAGGGTTGTCGCGACGGACAACATCAACCTGGCAGCAGGGTGCGTTAGCATGCTAAACCAGCGTAGTAGTTCTAGTGTGTCTGCACGTTTTGTTTTGCATATTTTGTATCGCACTTGTGAAAAACGTCAGACAATTTGCTTCTCACTCTTACTGAAAGAAGAAGTGTCGGTATGTAATGCCTCGTTTCAGGTTAAAGTGCAATGGAGCGATGGTGAGATTTACGATGGTTACTATCGGTGTATTTCGAAAACCATCGAATACACTGTCGTATTCCCCAACGGAACCTCAGCTCGTCTACCAAGAGCCGACCTCTATGGAGCTGATGATTTAGTCCCTCCAGAAGTTCGGAGACGTTTGCGCAAGTCGCAATGACGATATTTTTCTAGGTTCCTTGTAAATGCTTTATATAGTCATTTTCCTGTCATTGGCATTTGAGATGCATTAGTATAGGTGTTTCCTTTGATGTGTAGAAAGCACTCTAATGGTAAGTTATGGCTATAAAGCCGTATTTTGGATTGTATCTCAGCCATGGCTATGCGGGTTCTAGTGGCAATAATTGATTGCTATGCTTTTTATAGATCAATTTTTCTATTCAGTTTTTTTGTGTTTATTTTAGTCAACAATTTTTGCCCGCTAGGGAATTTTGTGTCTAATTCCTGTAAGATTTGTGCTGTTTGTTTGTTTCTAGGCATAAAGGTTAGCGATCTAGGCTGATATGATTTTTACAAGGTACTGTCAGACAATATTCTTTGGTAGCTTTTCTTTTGAATATCTTTTGGAAACCCTGTGCTCTCTTCACGTGAGTAGCGATTTTGAATCCTTTCAGTGGGCGGGGTTCTGCTTTTCATATTGAGAGGATTGGCGCTGCGAAGAGAAAAAAGGGAGAAATGGAATGTTAACGGGCTATTTAAGTCCATACCAAGGTTTCTCAAGGCAGTTTTATTTGGGTTTTATTGGGAGCATTCCTCATTGATGGGCTTGGCTACTGTGACGATTCGTCAGTTTGAAGTGTTTCCGATGTTGCCTTTGATCCATTTAGATGGGAAAATGGGATTTTTTTATCGCGTGTAAGTACCACAGTATGTGTATGTCTGTTGCAATCAGTTGTAGCAGTGAAACATCTGTAAGATTAAAGGAAGCGATTATAATGAAGAGGAAGCGTTGGAGAAGTATGCAACGAAGCAGTAGCTTGGCTGCCAAGGAAGCGAGGTAGCGCTTTCATGACGGATAGTTCGCTGGTTGCGGAGCAGTGCTTGAAAATTGTCCCGACCCGTTGAATGCTCCACCCACTAATTTAGATTGTGACACGTGCGAGCTGTGTTGCCAGGACACAACTGGAGCATGACTTACAAGGGGGGTCTTTCAGGGCAAGCCACGCTTTTTCAAAACGGTTTTTTGCATATTGTAGGGACGCATGTAGGGAACACAAAACCATGTTTCGTTTTCGCTGAACGGTTTAGTAGTACAAAAGAACCCTTGATGGTTCGATCCCCGTGGCGACTAAATTTTGCATTTGGGTTGGCGCCTACGGTTGGTGCCAAATCGCGCTAAATGTCAAAATCAGATGTCATATTCATCGTCAGGACCATTTTGAAGCCAACAAGTGGCCCTTCAACTTCATAAAATGAGAAGCGGTAGACCGTTAGAATCTACGCGAAGAGTACATTGATCGGAAGAGACGTAACTATCTAGCCCCCCCGCCCCGTCCCAAACACGACAGAGCTGCTCTCAGGTCTATCCTAGCCCGCACGACAGAGCCTGGCAAGCTACTCGTGCCTTCAATATGCCGAAAACAGCAATATGGATGGGCCTCATTCCCCTGAACCTGAGGGAGCCCCCAATACGGCAGCGTTGGGTAGGACCGCTCGGGAGAGGCTGCTAGAATCTCAGGGCCCGGATAGGCTGCCTAAACGAAGAAGGACTAAGATGGCGATCTGTACTTTCAACGCACGAACGCTTGCATCCGAAGCTCACATCGAAGATCTGATGATGCAGGCCAGGAAGATCAAGTACGACGTCATCGGACTGACCGAGACGAGAAGGCACCGCCCGCTACACGCCGTTTTCGATACTGGAGAAGAACTGTTCCTTGGAACATGCGACAGCAGAGGCGCACCTTGCGCCCCCCAGCCCCGCCTGCGCCCTAGGGCCCGTTTTTTTTTTTTGACAATTTTGCCCCGGCCTCCTGTAAGCCGCTTGGTCGGCTGGGTGTTGTGCATACGCTCACACATCCGCCACCCGCTCGCGCCGCTACTTTTCCCCCAATCTCCCTTCCCGGCCCTGACGGCAAACGCGCGCCTGCTGTCAAGTAACGCCCCTTTGTGGCCGCTAGCAACTCCTCCGTGGCTAACAGACCTGTTGACCGCTGCTGGTCGAATACTTGCCTTGCCCCTGGTACGACAATCCACCCACTGGAACTCCCACGCGCAACTATTTTGCAGCATCCGGCACAAAAATGTCTGGAGTTTTTACTAAACTTACGATCTCGAATTCCTGCTACGTCTTTGAGTGTCTGCACGCACACACTCTCGCGCTCACACTGGAGTTGAGACAATCGTCTCGCTCGCTTGACCGGGCCACGTGTCCCACAACACGAGTCCAACCGCATCGCAGTGCTCAACTCGACCGCATATGACAACATCGACAGCGATTATCTAGAGGTATAATTTGGCTAGAGAGATTGATTACAAGGTAACACCATACCTTCTCAAGTCCCTGTCGCGCCGACTTCCAATTCGTCAAGCCCAATGCCCGAGAAGAGCGGCTGAAGAACTTCACTCGACTCGGTCTCACGGAATGGATTGGAATGAGCAGGGCGAAAGACTGTCTGAGTTTATCATGTCGACCAACCATCCATGGTAACTCGCAGTTCCAGAAGCCCTCTCACCTTCGTTGGACTTGGGAGTCACCTGATGGACAGTTCCATAACGAGATAGACCACATCATCTTCAATCGAAGGTTTTGCCTGACCGACGTCGCTGTTGTTCCAAAGTTCTACACGGGATCGGACCATCGTCTCCTCCGCGCAAGATTCCACTTCTCGATGCGTGTTGAGAGAGCAGCAAAGTTCAGGAAGCGAAGCCCCAGGACAGTCATCTCCGGAAAAACTCGGACTGATATGCCAAGCGATGGAGGCCCCTCTTGCGAGCTGCGAGCAGCAACCTCCCAGCGAGACAACACTCACGAAGGCCTTTGTGGTTGTCCCTGCTCGAGAGAGTGAACGACGCCGTCCACTGGCGAATGTCACCGCGCGATACACCAGGACACCCCACTCTCACAGGTGAGTGACATTGAAGCCACAGTCATAGACCTGGACTAGCCCCACGAGCCCTAGAGCGTGTGCCAGGAGCCATAACGCCCGCTATGCACGCTGCCGCCGCCACGTAAGCCTAATGCCTCTCTCAACGAGAGGCCGCGTCCTAAGACCAACTGATGACCTGGCGTGCCTCCAGGACTGATTGCGCAGATGAACACCCCTTCTAGTTTCGCATCCAGACGAACGGTATATTTGAGGAAGTCATCCCGCTTTCAGCAGATCTTCGTAGCGGATCCTGTGCGTCGTATGAACCATGTTCCTCCAATCCGTTTCTCCCCTTCCCGTCGTTGGCGTCCTTAGGCCCGTATTCTTGTTGCCTGTCTCGTCCATACCGCGCGGGCTCGCCCCCCACGCTTTCTTTGCTCTAACCTTATGAGACCTCGTGCCCAAGCGGATCGGATCGTTTGTCCGCTCCAGTTCTCTCCTTCCGAAGTCGCGACACGCCATCAAGTCGGCGTATAATGAATCTGAACGAAGCCGCAGTTATCATCAAAACTCTGGCTCGACTCTTCACGCGCTACCTGTCGGAATGCAAGGTACCCACTCCGTGGAAAACCAGCAGGACCGTGTTGCTGTACAAGAAGGGAGACTTGGACGACATTGGCAACTATCGCCCAATCTGCCTGCTGTCTGTAATCTACAAGCTATTCACTCGAGTCATCCTTAACAGGATCGGCAGAATACTAGATGAAGGACAGCCATGCGAGCAAGCAGGGTTCCGAAGAGGGTTCAGCACGACCATATCCACACGGTTACAAGACTCATTGAAGTTTCACGAGAGTACAAGATGCCGCTTTGTCTCACGTTCATCGACTTGAAGAAGGCCTTCGACTCTGTGGAGACAGAAGCGGTCATCGAAGCCTTGGGCAACCAGGGCGTCCCTACTCAGTACATCAAGATTCTTCGTGAGCTCTACAGCAACTTTACGACCAGAATCTCACCATTCTACAAGGAGGTCATCATCGACGTCAAGAGAGGGGTCCGACAGGGCGACACCATCTCGCCCAAACTCTTCAGCGCCGCTCTCGAGAACGTCATGCGTCAACTGGAATGGGAAGACATGGGAGTGAAGGTCGACGGCCGGCAACTACACCACCTTCGTTTTGCTGACGACATCGTTCTTATAACGCCGAACATCGAGCAAGCGGAGCGAATGCTGGCTGATTTCGACTGCGCCTGTGGTAAGGTTGGTCTACAGCTGAACCTAACGAAGACGATGTTTATGAGAAACGGATTGGTTCCTGATGCCCCATTCACGCTCAACGGAACGAACATCACCGAATGCTCCAGCTACGTGTACCTAGGTCGGGAAATCAATATGATGAACGATCTAGCTCCAGAGCTGAGCAGGAGGAAACGAGCGGCTTGGGGAGCGTACAAGAACATCGAGGGAGTAGTGAAGAAGACGAAGAACATCCGGCTCCGTGCCCACCTCTTCGATTCCGCTGTCCTTCCTGCCCTAACCTACGCCTCAGAGACTTGGACTCTGCGCAGGCAGGACGAGCATGCGGTCAGCGTTATCCAACGCGCTGTCGAGAGGACGATGCTAGGAGTAACCCTATACACGCAAGTGCAGAGGGGAATCCGGAGTGCCGAACTACGCCAACGATCGAAGATCAGGGACGCTGCCGTTTTCGCCAAGGAATCGAAGATAAGGTGGGCCGGACACGTCATGCGATTTTGCGATGACCGTTGGACCAGAGCGGTTACCGACTGGATCCCTCGGGACGTCAAACGAACACCTGGACGACCGCCGGCCCGATGGTCAGACTTCTTCACGAAAGCTCTGAACGAAAGGAATGAAGGACTTCGTGTCCCTCGAGCAAGGAGGATCCACTGGACCACTCTAGCACGCGACAGGGACGAATGGAGACGTTGCTGGCGCCCGCTCGAGCAAATCGACGATCAACGGGACGACAGGTGATACAGGTGATACTATAACACCTTCTTCAGGAAAATGGAGGACTTTCAAATGCGAGTGCGACTTCTGCCCACAGACAGGTGCACGGCGTATACCCGAGCAGGCGTTTTCCCATAAAAACGCCTTCTCTGTCAG